GGGGGGGGGTTAGGAATACAATGAAGTCAGGTGTTGGTGGGCAACGCCCAGGCAGGCAGGCAGGAAAGAAATAACAAGAATAATAACAAAGTTTGCCGGCCGCGCGCTCCTTTCCCGCTTGGTGTTAAACGCGTTATTATGAGCGAAATGAGAACCAAGTTTCGTGGCCGCGACCCTCGAATGCGACGACGCCGGCGAAATGTAACGAGGAGAAAAATGGTGCGGCGGGGCGTACTGCTGGGGGTAGTAGTGAGCGGGGGCACGCCCGCGGGCACGCCACAAGGAACGCCCACCCCACCCGCGGGAACACCCCCGCGGAAACCGCCGCCTGCCACGCACCGGGGTCGAGAATGAAAATAGTTGTCGGCAAAGGCACTAAGACGTGGCCGACATGGCCATGTTAATGGACTGTGGGGCCCGGCCTGGCGTGGCGTGGCCGGAAACGACAACGAAAGACATTTTCCGGCAATCACAACCGACGCCCCCAACAACGCCCACCCCCTTTAGTCAGATGCGCGCGCTGCCGACGACGCCGCGACCCCCCACCGTTGCTGCCCCCGCCTTGACAACCGAAACACTTCCATCCTTATTCTTTGTTTCCTGCTGAAAATGTTTTCAGCCTTTAGTGGCTGCGATTACAAAACTGCGTACCACAGAGAGAGGGGTGGATTCTGCGGTGACGACGACAGCGTTTCAAAGGGGTTCCTCTACCTGGCCCTACCCTCTCCACGTCCCCGTCCCACTCGTACCGCATGAACTTGTTGCATTGGAGGAGGGCCCCGAGTGCGGGTGGATGGCGCTCCCGCGGTCCCTCCGCGCTTCGCGAAACAAAAACAAACAACTAACAATATTGAAGTTGATAAAAATGAATAAAACAAAGGGGTAAAAAAGCGTCGCAGCAAGCATGAGCGTGGCGGGGGGGTTGTTCGTTATCTGCAAAAGTTGTCCCCCCCGCCCCGCCGCGCGCCCTTCCCTGGGTCGGGCCGTCCCGACTCACTCTCCTCGGGCCGGAAGTCGTTAGGGAAGAGGAACTACCAGTCGGCGGGGTGGGCCGGCGGACGGGGCGGGCGGGGTGGCGGCGCTGGCGGGGCGGTGGCGGCGGCGGCGGCGGCGGCTCCAGCGGCTTGGCGTGTGGTTCGGCAGGCGCTGCGCCTATACCCGCCGCCCACCCGCCCTCCTGGCCCTCCTGGCCCACGCCGCCGTCAAATTAATTACCCAGAAAAGTTGAAGGCGCCGGCGGCGGCGTGCTGGAGTGAGTGGCTCTTCCTCTCCCACCACCCTTGCGGACCGGACTCAGCGGCTGCAGCGCCCAGCTCTTCCTGGCCGCGACCCCCCGAGTGGCAGCAGCCTAGGCCTAGGAGGCTAGGAGGAGGCGCGACCCACAGGGCGAGCAACACTGGATTATGCATGAGCCTGTCTGGGGGGTCGTGATCGCGTCGCCTCCAAGTTGAAGCCACTCCCTGCTGCCCCGTCGACTCGTCGACTCGCCCGCTCTTCTTATTTTAGAGCCGCGCGACGCCGGCGGCGGCCGTTCTTCCGCGCGGGTAGGTTGGTTAGGCTCGAGGTCCACCCGGGCGGGGCGGCGGGGGGAGAGAAGAGCCTCGCGGCCAGAGAGAGAGCAGAGCAGAGCAGCGGACGTGGCATGTTGTCAGCCGGGGGATTATGTTGCGGGCCAGAGCCTACCGCAGGAGGGCAGGCCCAGGCCCGGCGGGGACCGGTGGAAGGGCACCTGGGGCGGCCGCGCTGGACATCGCTGTCTCCGTGGAGGACAGGAGGAGGAGGAGGGAACGAGGGGTGGACGACTGGGCGGCTCCGGTGTACAGGCCAAAATGTACTCCAGGTGTTCTCCGATTGTACTCCGATTGTACTCCGTGTACTCCGGGTGTACTCCGGTGTACTCCGGGTGTACTCCGGTGTACTCCGGGTGTGCTCCAGGTGTACTCTGCGCGCTCCGACTGTACTTCGTGTACTCCGTACTCCTGTGCACACGAAAATTTCCAGTCGCCCACCCCTCGGGAGGGAACCTGGCCGGCAGTTGGGCAGGGGAGGGGGGAGGGGTCTCAACTGGACAACGGAACACTCGCGTCCTTTTAATTACCACGACCTGCAGCTGCAGCTCCCACGGCGTTGCGGCGTTACGAGCAGGTCACGGTGGTGGAGAGAGGGTAACGAATTTGTACTCGTGTACAACAGATTAGCCGGATTACTCGGATTACACCTGGATTACTGCTGGATTACTCCTGGATCACCCCTGGATGACTCTCCGATTAGGGATCAGCCGTTACGACCCTGCCCGGGTTTAGCAGCCCGTGGATGCTCTCATAACGCCTTGTAGGTAGGCAACACGTTGCCTGCAGTGCACGCGTGTGCGGCGGGGTGGCCTATCCCGAGTATCGCAGGCGCCGAGCTCCCGTTATCGCCCGAGTAAAGCTGAGAAAAACGGGCGTAATTTCGGGACGATCCCCTTACCCTCTGGACACATGTGACTTACCTTCCCGGCGTGCGTGAGCTCGTAGCCGCCGGGCTTGCACTCGTGCGAGCGCACGATGTACGACAGGTGGTGCTTGGCCAGGAACTTGTCGGTGACGTCCGGCCCGAAGTAGGTGCCCGCGCCGCGCAGGCTGTTGGGGATACAGCCGTCGGCGGGCTGCGGGTCGCTCCACAGCAGGTCGAACACCTGCAGACACGGACACACCGGCAGACAGGTACGCAGGGTTAAGGCAAAGGTTTGACATTTCGTAAAATTATGAGATCTCGCGCCAAGCCGGACCTGCGGCTCTTGACCTTCACGGGCGGTCGGTCGGGGCCCGCTCATAAACCCCCCCCCCCCTCTGAGCTGATCATTATGAGTTCCTTCAGACCTTCTTCACCTTCACGCCACATCGCCGCCCACCTTCCCCTTGCCCTGCCACCTTCCCCACTACCACGACGTCATCGCCCTGCAAAGTAATCATAAACTGATTTTACGCCCCGGTGCGCCTCTCGGTGCCGCCGCCGCACCTTTTCCTCCTCTCCCTCCCCGTTGGAGTCCTGGAGAGCGTTGGTCCTCTAGAGCTTGCAGCCGACGGGGCGGCAGCGGCGACGGCCGCCTTTTGCAAGCTTCTTGATTCATGATGAACGGATGGCGAGCAGGGGGGAAAAAAATTGCGCTCATCATGGGGATTCGAACTCTCACCCCTCCGCCTGCCTCCCACGCCCTGCTGAGTCAGCAGCTCCCGCCCCGCTGAGCGAAAAACGGGGCGAGTCATGTCGGTGGGCAGCGGCGGCAGCAGCGGGGCAGCTGGAAGTGATGAGGTGGAACACGGCGGGGGCGAAACTCACCTGTTTCCACTCCATTTTGTCGATCAGCTCGGCTCCGGGGGCCGAACTTTCCGTCACCGGCGGCCTCAAGAGGGACACGTACTGCGGGACAGAGGAGAGAAAGAGAAAAAAAATCGGCCATGAAATCAGCGAGCAGCGTATGGGGACGAGAAAGAGAGAAAGTGTGTGTCTGTAGGAGAGACAGGGAGAGGCTCTGCACTGTCTCTCTCCCACTCAAAGCAACCCCTCCGCCCCGATTCATCTCCCACTGCTCTCACCGAGGCTCGCTGCTCGCACTTTCAAAGGCGTCAGTGCGTGAATAAACATCTCCATGGGTAAATGAAACGCGGTGATGTGGCTCCGTCCTCCTGTCCGTCCGTCCGTCTATCTGTCCCGGATGTTGAGGTGTGGCGGTACGGCTCACCCGAAGCGTTTCCGCGTGTGTATAGATATATATTTACGCCCAAACTTTGGCGCGCGACTTTTAACGCGGAGCTGCTGCTCGGTTGTCTGAAACGGGCGCGAAAACTTGGCAAAGCCGCGGTTGGTGGTGGTGGGAAAGGAAGGAAGGAAGGAAGAGAGAGAGACAGACAGACAGACAGAGAGAGAGGGGGAGTAGCAGGGAGGGAAAGAGGGAAGGAGGGAAGGAGGGAAGGAAGAAAAGGGGAAAAGTCGGGCAGCTAGCAGCGCTGCGTCTAACGTCTCGCGGCATGGCTCAGCTGCCTCACGTTTAGCGACAGGGAGGCAAGGGAGAGGGACGCGCGGGGCGGAGGGTAGATTTGCACAACGCGTGTCTGAGCAGAAGACAACCCTCGCCCTCCCTCCCGCCAGCTTAACCGCGCGCCGCGCCGGCAGGAATGCTGATGTCGAAGCTTTCCATCAACGCAACATGCTTTATATATTATGGCGAGAGTAAAAGGACCTTGACGAAAACCCAGTTACCCCCGGAGGGCGGCGGCGGCGGGGCGGACCAGAGCGCCTTCGCAGGCCTGACGGGAGGGCAGACAGACGGACGGGACGAACGGCAGGGGGGCGTGAGATCACGCAGCCGGGGGGTACGTTATGGCTTTAGAGAGGTGCATAGTCTCGCAGCAGGGGGGCGCTGCTGAGACTCGCCCGGCCGACACCATTCTGTGTGCGTGAGGAGACTACCACGAACGACGACCCTGCCCTTGCCCCCCTCCTTCCTCCCCCCCCCCTTTCCAACCGCAACGCCGCACGGCCACCTGAGCCCCCCCGCTCGCTCCGCACCCCCAGGGGGCACAGTGTCACAGCGAGACTGGCAATCGCCCCGCGAGGCCAGAGAAAGGGGAGGCTTCCGCCCCACCCTTCCACCTGGCGGCCTGTCGTTCTGTCTGTCTGTCTGTCTGTCTGTCTGTCTGTCTGTCTGTCTGTCTGTCTGTCTGTCTGTCTGTCTGTCTGTCTGTCTGTCTCCAGTGGTCCAGCTCGCCGTCTGACAGCCCTTGGGCGCGTTTGCCGTTCCGGGTTAAGCAATGCGATAGGGGGGGGGGGGCCCTCCCTAGGGTCCTGTACTACCTGTTTTTACCTGAATGTTTCTTGATTTTTTTTTCTGTTTTTTTCTGATTTTTTTCTTGTTTTCCCCCTGATTTTGTTCTAATTTT